CTATGGAATGTATATATCTAAAAATAGTTTCACAGTTATAGGGATGGGAGAAGGACAATGAGGACGAGAACCAAACTTATGGAATTAAATGAGTGCCTTTTCATTTACTTCAGTGGTCACTGAATCAGGCCCATACCACTGATCAGACAGTAGATGGATTTTCCTTGTTTTTTACTGAGTTTCAGTGTAACCTTAAACACATCTGAAATTAGGGTTCCAAAGTTCATCCCACAAAAGTGCTGTTTCAAAGAAAGACACAGATGTTTGTAGCCTTTCAGAAACTGAGCAAGACACACTGGCAACCAAAACTCTGGAACCACACCACCTAAAATGTTGAACGTACACTACCATTTAAAAAAATTGGAAATGATCAAGAAAATGTTTTTAAAACCTTCTAGCAGCTAGCATCACCAAGTTCTACTCCAACAACTACCGTCTCCAAGTATTTCTACTTTTGTGTGTATTATTTTCTACGACCGCCATATTGCTTTCTTGAGCTCTTCAAAATATTCTGAACACAGTACAAAGCACTTTACTCACACCTCTCTACTGACCCATGCTTCCAAACTGTATATTGTAGTTCCTTTAAATGCTGCAATGTTTTAGGATTCCAGTTTGCACTTTTGAAGAACTGCATAAACTCTGCAACCAATCTGCAAAGGTTGGTGGGGAGAGGGTGATGGGGCACAGAATCATAGACTATCAGGGTTGAAAGGGACCTCAGGAGGTCATCTAGTCCAACCCCCTGCTCAAAGCAGGACCAATCCCCAATTTTTGCTCCAAATCCGTAAATGGCCCCCTCAAGGATTGAACTCACAACCCTGGGTTTAGCAGGACAATGCTCAAACCACTGAGCTATCCATCCTTTTTTTAAGGCTATCCTCAACTATTCCATATTAAAAGGTAAAAAGAAATAAGCTTTGAAGAAATATGCCATCATATTTTTTTAAGATCTTAGGTTTCCATAATGTCATTAAAAATAAACCAGAACACCAATGTTGCTAGACAGTTTCAGAAATAAGCATTTTTAAGACACAGGAAACATGAAAGTTGTTGGATGTTTTTAAGTCAGACAACATGAAGAAAAAGAGAAACCTCAATGAGAAACCAGATCCTTTATGGTACCTTAAGAACCTTCACCTTTCCAGCCTGCCCCAAGGCACCTCTGAAAGCTTTGTGGCATTGCAAACACGGAACCAAAGTAGTTGGCAACAGTGTTTCATTTAAATGTATAATGTATCTAAAAGAAGGAATGTTGATGAGCCTCAGAAATGAAAATGCTCAATACAGGCTACCAACATTCCCTTATGGTAATGACTGACATTTCATGGTGTTCTGCAGAAGAACCTGAGCAGAACCTGAGCAGCCTCAAGCAATAGACACTTACCTCCAAATACTTAAGAAAAATTAGGTTTTTGGCCAACTGAATCAACATCTCAAATCCCATGAAGTTCAACCAGAAGAAAAATCTAAAAGGTTGACTTCAACATGAAAATTAGAGAGAAAAAACCTCAGGAAGTGTTTCTCTGTGTGGATGAGAGCCTAAGAAATTTCTTCCATTTCCTTATAGAATGAAGTCACAGAGAAGAACCATCAAAAATGTTGCACACTGAAAAACTGAAGAACCCTTAAGGGAAAAAATAAACTATGATTAAGCCAGCCACTGCCAGCAAAGCTTCAAAAAATGGAGAGACATCCATAATGAGCACTTCCCATCTCAGCTTTGTCTACTGGGAGCCTGCTCTCTGTCTCTCTCCTCCATTTTCTGGTGGAGCTACAGAACATGACATGGCTTACCTGACTCAGATCACAGCTCTCTGCCAAACTAGTCACTTCCTCTTAGACATGCAAGCCGCTTCATGAGACAAACAGACACACACGAAAAGCAGCAGCAGAAAGCCCCCAAACTTGAAGGTCTTTCCAGTTGCTGACATTAAAACAAATGAAACTTTTGTTTTGTTTTGTTTAAAAAGGAAGAGAGGAGGGAGGGACCCTATCATATCTCATCTACAGGGAGCTTCAGGAGGATCTCACTCTGTGTAGGGTAGAAACTACAATGCTAAGAAGAAAAGAAAGGTTACTCCAGGAGACATAAAAAGCTTGGAGACTGTGTCTGCATGGGGGGAGGGGGCGAGCTTTGTGTGGTGGAGTCTGGACTGGAACCAAAGCAGACAGCTTGCAAATGGAGGACAGGGAGATAAAGGAAGGGAGAGGGAGAGGAGGGAAAGCTGCTGGGGGGGACGCTCTTTCTTCCCTGTGTGGCTGGAAGACAGAGACACTCGGGGCACTGAGCAAGAAGTGAGGGTCTTTCCTCCTCCTTTCTCTCTCTCCCTCTCAGAGGAGAGCAGGAGCGTGTGTAATGGCTTCTCCTCTCCAGCTAACGCTGTCCTCCTCCAAGCAACCCCCTTCAGAAACCACCAGCCCCCGCGGAGACCCAGCCGGAGACCCCCACATCCCAACTTCAGGAGAGGCGGAGGGAAGGGGGGGCGAGGAGGCAAATACCTGGGCGAGGGACCAGCGTTGCACCAGGGGAGGAGGAAGAGGAGAGAAGGAAGGAGAGAAAGAAAAAGAAAGAGGTCACCCGATTGCCTGGGTCGTGCCAGCACGGAGCGTTTCTCTCCTCTGTGTCTCTCCCGTCTCTGATCCAAGTCCACACACCCAGGCACCATCCACTCCTAACACAGACACACATCCATCCATCCCCCCCAGCTCTGCTGATCTCTCACTTATCGCCCCATATCCCCCCCCCTTAATGCAACAACAACAACAAAAAATTAATTAACCGCCTTCCTCCTCCCACCACCACCAGCACCTCCTCCTCCTCCTTCTCCTCCTCCATGCAAGAGAGACTTCTCTCTCTCTCTCTCTCTCTCTTTCAAACAAAACACCCCCCCTTTTTTCTTTTCCTCCTCGCCTTCCTCGAATGAATGGATTTCAGAGGAAGAAGGGGTGGTAGAAAGAAAGAAAGAAAGAAAAATACGGGGCGCGAGAGAGAGATGATCTCTCCAAAGCCAAACCGGAGATGGATTTTAATTGCAAGAACTTACAGTAGCGTCCCGAAGCTGCCGCTGCTTTCTTCTTCTCCTCCTCCTCTCTGTCTAGCTCTTCTTCTTGCGCTTGTTGTGGAAGTTGTTATGTGAGTCTCATGTGCTCCTTGCCAGGTCTCAGCAATGGAGGATCGCCATCTTTCCCTGCTTTTTCCCCCCTCTCCTTCGCTGGCTTGCTGCTGCAGCTGCAGATGACCTGAGATATCCGTCTCTCTCTCCCTCTCTCTCTCTCACCCTCTGTGTCTCTCTCTGAATAATGAGCAACCAGAGGGAGAGAGAGAAAGAAGACAATCTCCTCTCCTACCACACAAAACGCAAGAGCACCAGGGGGTGCACGAAGCCTTTCTAACAACAACAACAACGTGGAGGGGAAGAGGAGGAAAAAAAGAGAAGGAGAAAGAGAGAGGAGGAAAAGGCAAGAAGAGGGGGGACAGGGAGGGAGGAGAGAGGGAAAGAAAGAGATGGAGGAGGAGGAGGAGGAGAAGATGATGCTGATAGAGGAGGTGGTGAAGATGGAGGAGATTAAGAGGAGGGAAGGTGGTTACAAAGTTAAGGTTTGGGACATGGAGTCACTCAGAGGCCAGCGCGAGGACGTGGAGGGGGGAGAAGCGATCTAAAGAGCTTCCCATTCCAAGCTGTTGCCTTCACACCGCCTCCTGCACCGAAGCGCTCATTAGCCCTGGCGAAGCTGAGACAGCCCGCTCGGATGGATCTCGCCTGCTGGGTCATAGCTTTCTACCAGCCATGGCAAAAACCGGTTCCTGCATGCAGATGTGCCCCTAAGCTGATTCCCTCAGACACATCCATCTCGAGGCTAATCTTCCCTGAGCGGGGTAAAGAACATAATGGGGCTGGAGGTTGCAAAGTATAAAACCAGATTCACCACGTGGTTGGTTTTTAATCTCCCTTCCAGCCTGCATTTGATGGGGAGGAAAGGGACTCGGATTGTCCATTGCTGGCACGTATTTTGAAGTCTTCTCCCGGACATAAAGACTCTGCCATTGCTAGGTTTTCATTACTCATAAGCGTGTAGGAAAAAGAGAGCTTGTAACACCGAGCACCAACATTACTTTCTAGATCTGTGAAATGTTCTGGCCGGGGCGGGGGGAGGAAATCCCCTACTTAAAATAACTTTTACACCTTCCAGCCCCAACTTGTCTGTAGCTGAACATTTTAAACCTTGGAAAGTAACAATCAAGGCTCATAATGATCAGGTGTCATGATGTTGAAGGCAAGAAAGCAAAGATGGAGTTGTTATACCCTGAATTTTTGTTTAGTGTAATTTTCCAAAAATCGTTCTGAGCCACCTCTTTTGCAAATGATTCCCTCCCTCGTTTCCATTCTAGATCACCCCCCGGGCGGGAATCTGGGACTGGGAGGGGTCCGGTCTCCAAACATCAATACATTGTAGGGATGCCGAAGCAATCTAAGGGCAAGGGCATGACTGTATTCATCACGGGCACTTCTCTTGTCCTCCAGCTGTGCTGCACTTTATATGGCTAGGAGAGGAAGCAGAACTTTAATTAAAGGTTCTTTTGATCGGGCTTTAGTTTGGGCGAACAGGAAGAGCCCTTTTGTGGTGTGAGGGCGGGACGGAGAGGATCTTCTTAAAGGTGCCAGGGTTTTATTAGAGATACGGAGGTGGTTTATTACAGCTCTGTTCTCTTTAAAATCCCAACTCAACAGCTACAGACCAAGCGAGGAAGGGAGACAGATGCTAATCAGATCATGCCATGTAACCATCAGCTATTAAAACAATGGAGCGTCTCATTCATCCCTCACATCGCTCTCGGTTAAAGCAAAAACCAGAGTGCTCCCATTAACTCGTCCTCCCACGAAGGCGAGCATCCCCGGCCAGGGCGGTAGAAAGGGGAGGAAGGAGGGTGGCTGGGGCACCGTGGGGCGCGGGGGGGGGGGTTCTGGGGAAGCCTGGGAACTCCCACGGACTCTGGGGGTTTCACGCAGACACATGGAGCAGCCTCGGGAGCGGATAAAAGAGCAGGAGGGAAGGGAGGGACGGGCTTTCCGGCGGCCAGGGCGTGCCTGTGTCTGGCAGCAGGTCTCTGTAAATCATCCCTCGGCTTGAAGAGGGCGCCGGGACGGTTACAGGATCTTTGACGTCCCCTCGGCGGCGGAGGGGAGACTTTACCTCTTTGTCTTTAACGTGATGGAAAGAAAAGACAAGAAAACCCGCGACGCCTCTGTCAGGCTAGGCTCCGGGGAAATGACCCCCAGTGCACCGGGATGGAGGCTCAACATCAAGCCTGGGACAAGAATCGCCAGCGAGGTAGTTTCTTTCTTGCCCCTCTTTCTGCCCCCCTCCCCCCGAAAAATCTCAATCGTTGAACTGATGTAGCCTCTCGGTCCGAGACTCCAGTCAATCGCCAGGGCAGAGGGCTGCCGTCCTGTTCTGGGGGCCTCTCTCCCACAAAGAGCTCGGTTACTGACTGTAAGACACGGGGAAGATGCAGCTGTTTCCCCCTCAGGTCCTTCAGAGGACTGAAAGGGGGAAGTGTTCCCTAAAATATCCCCTCTCAAATAAATGAATGAGCCACCCATCCGTTCCCCTTTAACACAAGAGATGACACGTGCACTAACGGAAGTCAAGTTTAGCAGAAGGTTTCTTGAGGTGGAAGTTTGGGCAGGGATATAAAAACCCTCCTGCTTCAAGGCACAAACTAAACCCCGACTAACGGGGATTAGGAAGACATTGTTCCTGTGGACAGGTTAATCCATAACTTCCTTCTGCAGGTTTCTTCCATCTTTCTTTGAAGCAACTGGTGCTGGTCACTCTTGGAGAGAGACTCCTGGACTAGATGGACCCACTGGTCTGGTTCTGTATGACAATTCCTATGTTCCTGAAAACAATGAATCATGAAAAATAGAAATCTGGAGGAATTTTATAAAAATCTGAAGGTACTGTCATGCCCCCAAACTTTTAGATATCTACAGATATCTGTGTTTCTATTATCTGTTCTGCTTAGCCCTATTACACAAATATTGACCGTTCAAGTGAGCTCTCCGCACTGCTGCAGTATAGGAAATATACACAATTCCACAAACTGCAATCAGGAGACCCAAGATTTTAGCTTATGGGGCAGCAGTTCACATACAGAAGGAAAATGGCAAGTTCATCAACTATCCAAATACAAAAAAAAAAAAAAAAAAGGAGGACTTGTGGCACCTTAAAGACTAACCAACTTATTTGAGCATAAGCCATGGCATCCGATGAATTGAGCTGTAGCTCACGAAAGTTTGTGCTCAAATAAATGGGTTAGTCTCTAAGGTGCCACAAGTCCTCCTTTTCTTTTCGCGGATACAGACTAACAGGGCTGCTACTCTGAAACCTTTCCAAATACAGTAAACGAAAGTGTGTTTGACTGTCCAAACTTACAGTCCTCTTCTTAGGAATGTAAAAGGGATGAAGTGTCAAGATGTGACAGGTGGGTCCATCCACCCGAGGTGACCATATAAACGGAGTGTCTCAGGTATGGTGATCAGCAATAAAAAGGTTAACTGTGTTGACACCTAAGTGATCCTAATTAGCCTCTCAAATTATCAGCCCATTAAGAGGAAGGAGGAAAGTTTGCACTTCTCTTGGTGCTGGCATTTCGGTCTCTGATGACTCACCAAGACAACAATGCTTTTGTTTACATTCTGAAGGTTACCTTCACAACCAGAGGGCCTAGAAGCATAATTTTTAAAAATGAAAGCACTGAATCTGTAGGAAACCAGCAAAATCTATTACAGGAACCTAAATCCTCTGTAGCTGTGCATCACTGTAGCTCAGGAAAGCTTATGCTCAAATAAATTTGTTAGTCTCTAAGGTGCCACAAGTCCTCCTTTTCTTTTTGTGAATACAGACTAACATGGTTGCTACCCTGAATCCTGTCATATTTTTTGTTGCCCCATCATTCCACATAGGAGCTCAGACCTCATTCAGTTTTTGTTTGTTTTTAAAATGGAAATCTTGTTTCACCAGAATGGTTACAATCTAACACTACAGCATTATTCTTGTTCCTCTTGAAGCCAGTGGAAGTTTTCCTGTGGACTATGATGGGAATAGGGTCAGGTCCGATTAAAATAATAAACTTTTCATTTTTGGTATAAAGGAATAATGAGAACGAGAAAGACCTGGCCAAGGTAGGTGGCTAAGAAGCACAACACCAGATGAAATTCAAGGTAACGCACATTGTCCTTCCAGTTTTCAACCACTCATGCACGTTGATGGGTTCTAAATTAATTGTAACGGCTCATGAGAACCAGTGAACAACAACAAAAGTGCAAATAAGATGTATGGGGATATTAAGAAAGGGGTAAAGGATGATATTGGAAACACACATATATAAATCAACAATACACTATCACCTTCAATGCTATGTTTATTGGTTAGTCTCTAAGGTGCTACAAGTACTCCTTTTTCTTTTTGCGAATACAGACTAACACGGCTGTTACTCTGAAACCTGTTTATTTCTGGTTACCCCATCTCAACACTATTGGAACAGAAATGGGAGAAGTCAAGGAAAGGACAAAAAAAAAGTATTTAGAATCTTGCAAAAACTTTCATAGTGAAGAGAGCTTAAAATGTTTAGGACTATTACATTTGGAAGAGTTGAATAATGAATGGTGACTGTCAATCAAGTGCTTCTATTTTCCTCTCTCATAATAGGAAGGAAAGGGGCATTAAGTTAGAAGACAACACATATAAAACTGAGAAAAGGGCATTTTAAAAGCTAGCACATATTCAGTCTGTGGAACTCACTGCCACAAGATATGATCAATGCAAAGAGTTTGGTTGAATTTTAAAAAGGATTAGACATTTACAGAAATGTCAGTAGTTTCATTAATAGGATAAAATAAACATTCATGCTTTGGGACACAGATCAACCAATAACTGCCTCTCCCAAGGCCTTTTATGGCATAGGTGTCTATATGAGATGTTTTACATTTTCCTCTAAAATGTCTGGTGCTGGCTACTGTTGTAGACAGGATAGAGTGGGATTAGTGATCTATTTAAGTAAGGTAATACACATGTAAAACTACAGTAACATACCAATATGACCCACTCATCTTGCTATGCAGTAGGAGCAAAACAAGTATTAGGATGTTCCATTAGTCTGCTTGGTACTCCACACCCAGGAACTTAATAGAAGAGACAAATCTACAGATGAAAGCACAGAGGCATCTGGGAGCACAGAGGCATTCCAAAAACCTTCTAAACAAGTAACAGGAGGGAACTGAGTGGAACACAAAAAAGGAATATTGCCACTATTTCTGAATCAATAGTAATGTATCCCAGTCAAGAAAGTGGAATGACATTTTAGAATCTGTAATTCCAGAAATATCATACTTCCCTTGACCAAGGAGGTGGTTACTATCAGTATTATCACCTGTAACCCTACCTGTGCTGTGATGAAGAGAAGAAATACATACCCCTTTTTACTTTATAACTGTCAGAAAAAGGCTTCAGTTGCTAGAAGGGCCTCATGTTTTGATATCAGTGTAATTCTGCTGATTTCATAGATTCATAGATTTTAAGGACAGAAGGGACCATGTTGATCACCTAGTCTGACCACCTGTATAACACAGGCCACAGGAATTCACAGAATAATTTTCACATCAAGCCCAACATTTCACTGTTAAAATAATGTGCTTAGTTATGCCAGTCCTCTGCTGAAGAGTTAAATCATTTGGTTGCTCAGGGCTCGTCTACACTTACAGTGCTGCAGCTGCACCGATGTAGCACTTAGTCAAGATGCTACCTACACCAATGGGAGAATGTCTCCTGTTGGTGTATGTACTCCACCTCCCTGAGAGGCAGTAGCTATGATGATTGGAGAAGCTCTCCTGTTGATGTAGCACTTTCTACACTGGGGGTTATATAAGTATAACTATGTTGCTCATAGGTGTGGCTTTTCCATGTAGTTATTCAGACATACATTGTTAGTGTAGACCAAGTCATGGTTGGACATCCATGAAATTATTCCTTTCTGGATTTGATGTAGCAAGTAGTTCTGAAATGAGTTCCCCTAATTAGTACTTTTCACCTGTAGAGCGGATGATGCCCCTTTTCACAAGCCAAGTAAGAATAAATTTGATAGGAGTGCCAGGAAACTTTTATATACACTTTTCTCTTTAAGGGTCCTTTTATCCTACACCACAGAGGCTTCCAATGCCTTAATCTGATGTCTACATTTCAGGGACTATAGTGGCATAGCTACGGTGCTGTAGCTATGCTGTCATAACCCTGTAGTGTATATGCAGCCTACAGCGATGGAAGGTGTTTTTCCTTTGCTGTAGAAACACCACCTCCTTGAGTGATGGTAGCTAGGGTGATGGAAGCATTCTTCCATAGACCTAGCTGCTTCTACACCAAGAGTTAGGTCACCATAATCACTGTGCCCAGGGGCATAAAAATATTTCACACCCCTGATTGTCATAGCTATGTTGACCTAGTTACTGTAGACCAGGCCTAACAAACTAGCCTCTCAATTTTTCCACTGAGGACCTGACTAACATTCTCCTTCTCTTGAATATCACATTCTGCAGGTATTAAGAGAGATTCACTCTCATTTCTGAGAAGATTAGAATATACTGTTCGTTTACCCAGGTAAAGAACTTACTTCTTTAATGTCCAGAGATTAAAGAACTTGGAAGACTGGTTGGAAAGAAGCAGGGAGACTCCACCCACCTGTGTGAGAAACAGGGACACCTACCCACTGGATTTTCTTTGTCTTCAAGTAAAAACTTGTGTAAATAATCCAGAATTCTCACTCCTGAGAGAGCTACAGAAGTTTTTGAGAAACCTTAGTTCTTTTAACATTGTTTTTGGAAGGTATCAGATATAATTGCTGCAAGCATGCTGAGTAGTTATAAGATTCATGAAGGGTTATTATTTACAGAGGCACCCCAGCGTGTGCTAGATACTTTACAGACATCTAGAATGATATGCTCTTTGGGGCATGAGGAATGTTGTAAAGAAAACTTGTTGGGAGGGAATGGTATTGGATTGGCATTTGATGTCAGCTCACTATCCGAAGAGTGTACAGATCACTAGTGCAGGCCAGAAAGTAGGGTTTTCCTCCCTCTGCAGTAAATTTTCAGTTTTTCAACAAAATCACAGTTTTACTTGAAAATCAGACACTTTCCATGAAAATGTTAATTTGGTCAAAAACCCAATATTCCATCAAAACCCAGAAAAATTTTGACCAATCCACTCATTTTGACTCAGTTCTGAAAACTTCCTTGTCTTGTGCCTAGTTAGTGTATACCACAGAACTGATCCAGGAGCATCTTATTTGGTGAAACAAAAGCACAGAGCTTTCTCATTCACTGGTTGAGTTTTAGGTGGCCACTGTGTTATCCCGAGCCATGTTCCTAAAGTTGACATTTGTGACAGACATGACAATATCCTGCAATCTGCAGGACAAATCTTATTGAATTAAGTTAAACCTGTATGTATTGCCATGGGGAAGGGGGATGTTAGCCCCTCCAGGAGCTAAGAACAATGGGAGGTAGCTAGGCACATTCACTCAGGTTGTAACAGCTCCAGAGAGCTACCGCTTCTGAGGAGACTCGCTTATACTACTTCTGACTGAATTCTCCAGGGAGGGGAGCAACAGACAAAGAAAGGGTTTTGGTTAAATAGCCTGAGTTAAAACTGACTTGGTGTCTTCTTTGTAAACCAGCAAACAGACAGGACCTGTGGTCCAAGAAGGAGGGTGAAAATCCTTAGGGAAGGGTTGATAGGTCTTTCACCTATTGAGGTCCCTGAAGACTTGGGAACTAGTTCAGTGATGAAGCAGTGATGAACACATTACCACAGCAAAAACCTCTGTGTGGGGTTTGAAGGACTAGTCACCAACCAGAGCCCTTCTTGGAGCGAGGGGTGATCTCTGATAAGCTTATTAGCATGCATGTAGGTTCTTTTATTGTTTTGAATATGTTTTCTCTGTAATGCTTTCACCTTAAGAATAAATGTGCTTGCTTAGAAAGAACTGTGTAGTAATTTATAACTGTTGGCAATTACACTGTGTACTGTCACTGAGGAAAGAAGAGAAGCAGACCTGCTTGGGCAGGGTGTCTTTTAGGGAAAAACACAGTATATTCAGGCAGCTGTTCAGCCTAAAAATACCCCAATCAGAAGGGACTGAGATGCATATCTCCACCCAATAGAGGCAATGGCTGGGGAGCCAGGAGCACAGAGTAGGCACCCTTGCTGGACTGAGGGGAGAATACAGGTGCAGATGCCCTGTACTATGACAATTTCTTTCCCAGGCAACATCTCCTGATGTCTGGGTAAACTAGAAGGCCAGACTGTTAATATTATTTGTATCACCATTGCACCTAGTAGCACCAGTCATGGACCAGGACCCCACTGTGCTAGGCGCTGTACAAACACAGAACAAAAAAAGGTCCCTGCCCCAAATAGCTTACAATCTAAGCACAAAACAAAAGAATAGATGACTCAGACAGATAGATGGGATAGTAAAAGGACAGAATATGAGAAAATATTGGTCAGCATGGTAGGCACTTCTCCCTCTCCAGAAGTGATCAAAAAACCCAAGGACAGAAAACTCTGGATTTAGAGCCCAATCCTACTCATGCTAGAATCAATGGAAAGATTCCCTTTGGCCTTAGTGGGAACTGGACTGGGACCTAACTGAAAGCTGGGCTCTTTCTTGACAAGGCAGTAATCACTAGTTGCCCAAGATCTTTATATAAGTAATTTCCACAAGGTACCCTACCTTTCTTGTGTTCTCTTTTAATGACCAACTTGATTTTTTTAAAAGATAGTTGGAAAGATGCTTCTCTAACCACCAGTTACCGTGAGCTTTTAATTAAACCTTGCAAAGCATTTTGTACATATCCCACAGAATATCTTTCATCTAAGGATTTCAAAATAATTATTATGCAATTCAGTCTTTCAAACCCAGCTAGATTTACTCACATTTCAGTAAAATATACCTTTCTGAAGGGTTTTAGATGGTGTCAGAAAGATTGAAATTGTGGTCACTCCTTAAAGCATCTGACCTTCTGGACCATGATATCAGCTGTCAATTTCTTGCTGAACATTCCATTATCTTTGCAGTATATCTCAACACTATATTACACTTGCTAGCAGGAGGACTCAGAGAGAGTTTGATTTTGCCATTTGGTATGGATAAATACTGAGTGATTTGTGAAATAATTCAGTTTCTGAAATGGTTGGATTTTATGGTGCAGTCTATGTTGTCTGGCCATATTTAGTAGTCAATATCCCAAAGACATTTATCCTGAAATTAAAAAGGCAGTTTTTACTGAGAATTTTATAACTTGCATGTAATTCAATACAGTGTTATCTTTGCTTGCCTTTCCATGCAGAACATAGGAAAAGCAATGCACAGTGTTCTCTCTCTCTCTCTCTCTCCCCCTCTTAATTTCTGATCTGGATGCTGCATGTGCACCTCCCTCAAACAATCAGAGCTCTGACTTTTTGGTATTTCCCTTTTCTTTTAGTGTATCTGACCATATGCTATTCAAATCTCACATTTTATTCTCAAAAAAAGAAAAGGAGGACTTGTGGCACCTTAGAGACTAACAAATTTATTTGAGCATAAGCTTTCATGAGCTACAGTTTAGTGAGTTGCATCCGATGAAGTGAGCTGTAGCTCACGAAAGCTTATGCTCAAATAAATTTGTTAGTCTCTAGGGTGCCACAAGTCCTCCTTTTCTTTTTGCGAATACAGACTAACATGGCTGCTACTCTGAAACCTGACATTTTATTCTGTTAACCTTATTCTATCTATATAATATACTGCTTCAGATAGATTTGAGATCCACTCCCTATCTAATATTGCTGTCATTAGAGATATTTTTGGGTTTTATAATTATTAGTAAAATGAGCAAGGCCCACTTTGGCTTCGCACCTGATAATATTGAATAAACTGTTGGGATATATAGGGTTTAAGAATATTTTTATTTATACATATGTGGTTATGATTTTATCCCAAATTTCAGTTGTTTTGGGGCAACTTCAATAGATGTGTTCTGTCTCCTCTCGTCTTTGAAACATTTCCAGCATAGATTATCACACATCCCCTAACTCTCTGCAGCTGTACTGGGAACCAGTACATTTTATTACCTATTTTTGAACTGCTTCAACCAATGGGTCACATTTCCTAGTAGTCATGTTATTTCTTCCCTAGCTTTTGATGTAGTCCTTAGTGCAACTCAGCTCCAGTTCATTTCCCCTTGTAAGTGTAAAGATGCCCACATGAGAAAACTGCACATTCTAAAGGGGTGTGTGAGGGGAGTCTTGTTTTTCTAACAATGAGGCTTGCTCAAGGTTCACAAGTTCAGCCTCCAAGACTTTTTGGTGGGGGTGGGCCATTTATTTATTTATTTATTGTGGGGGGTTTGTTTTGTTTGTTTACCTAAATACATTTATAAACATTGCTTAAGGCAATTCTCTCTCAGCCCTATTTTTAGCCCTAGTTGTAAAAAGTCTCAAATTTATGACCAACACAAGTCCAAGATCTCTCACATCCATGTTTTTATCCATTTATCTGTATTAATGATTGCATCCCTATTACATTACTTCCAGTGTAAATTTTTCCATTCTAATTCACCACATTATCAGCCACAACCTCAGCTTGGTGTAAATTGGCTAGATCCATTGACATCAAGGGATACACCACCATTTAAAACCAGATGGTCTGACTCATTATTCTAACCGAGTTAATGAGTCTTTTCTAGCTATTTCAGATAGAAGGCTTTTGTTTCTCTTTTTGTTTGTAGATATTTATGCATTGAAGTTACACATACCTCCTTCACTGAAGTTTTCTTTACTCTATTTTTAAAGTCAATTTAAGTTCTTTTTCTCTTACCTAGTCTGCTCTTTTCTTAGCGTATTCAATTGTCTAAAGCCATTCTTGTTTTCTTACTTTTTAAACGATAGTCTACTACTGAGTTTCTCTCCACATTTAGTTATTTTCATCTACCACATTTCAAAGCTTTCTTCTATAGTATCCTATTCCTAGCATCTCTATACTGTGCACAAAGCAGAAACTGCGTTTCAAGTCCTATTCTTTACAGTTACCTGAAGTTTGCAGTGTTGTTGTATCTCTCAAGATAACTGTCCTATAGAAGTGGAACAAAAAGACACCATTCATAACGTTAGCACCATCACTGCATTCTTACTCATGAAATGTGGGCTAGCTAATAGCGAGACAGTCCCACAATCACATAAAGTACAGTGTATTTAAGAGGAGAGGAGCTACCATACGGTATCCAAGAACTACTTCACAATTTGAAACAGATATGTTCTAAAGCCTAGGCTTTCTGTACTGAAGTTTCCACAGAAGAGTCTCAATAGTTTTTGGTAACATCATCTCAATATCATTTCAAAACGCTTAATAGGTCCCATTGACACAAGAAGCTTGGAAATGGTGGCCCATCCCTTCACAATGTATTTACTGGAGAGGTGGCAGCTCAGGGTCAAATTCTGCCTTTAAATATTTATGCAAAACCATCAGTTATCTTCTGGAAGACTTTGGAGGGTGTTATAGTGGACAGAAAATTGGCCCTTAATGAGCCAGCATTTGCAATAAAGCCCATCCTATGGCTACTTTCCACTGCAGATAGTGTCTTTACTATCAAGACCTTTTATTGGATTCACATTGGCTTCTATGAAGATACACCAAGGCTTAATTTAGAGCAACATATCTATCCTTTTCTTTTTAGTTTGGTACATATACCTAATGTAAGTACCTTAGCTTCCAGGTGCTCCAACTTTCAGTGCTGCTACTGTACACTTTAATTAAACTTCCTCATCTTTTCCCAAGAGGTATCTGAATGAGTTTTCATGACACACAATGTGCTTCCACAGGACCATGTTGTAAATCCTCTGATATGTCACAAAAAGGTGTTTTACTGTAAGGTCCCAACCAGCCTATGTAGGAGAAGTGTTTGCTCTTGAAACCTGCAGCAGGCACTACAGTGAGATGAGATTAGATATGGAACCTGCTCTAGGAATGGAGAGATGAGATAAGACTATCTTGGAGCCTTTTGATAGGGGAGTGATCTACACTACATCACCATGTGTGTGCAGTGAGAGAGGGTGGAATGCAAACATACAGTGGTGCCACCTGTCACCAGCTCTAGGACAGGCTGCCACTACAGTGTGAATGCTCTGACTGCATTAAAATTGGTTGGAGTTTTAGACGACGTGGTCTCACCTCATTCCTCAGATTCCCCTGATGTTACAATATTTTGGGTTAAAATGGGGGGGCGGGTTCCATTGCTGCCGCCCTCACTCACTAAGGAGAACAGTATTGTGAAGAGGAAGAGATCCCCACTCCAATGCTATGTTTTGGCAGTGATGGCTAAGTCCACAGTTTTAAGAACAACTTGGCTAGAACCGGACTCGGAAAGCCTAATTTTCTCAAGCTCAGAAGACAAAAATTGCCTCTGAAAAGGGTACAGTAGTAACTGCTGTTTGACCTTATCCCTGAGTAAAAACACCATGGAAAACCTTAGAGGAGCTTCAGATAATGGGTACTAAAGAGGATATGGTTCACGTCACAGGCGTTTGGCATGCAACCTAACCATGTCTGGTTTTTCCACTTTGAGTCAAAGGAAGACTACAGTACATGTTCTGAGTAGTGTGTCCCTGTTTATAGACACTAGATCCACACACATAGCAGAGTCCCCCTTCTCTGCCCTTCTCTCCCTGCCAGATTTGCCAGGATTTTGTCTCCTTCAGCTTCAGAGACAACGGGGACAACATGGCTACTTATGAGAGCTGGGTAGAGAAAGGGAATTCTGTTTCATGGAGTATTTCATTGGTTCAGAATTTGGTTTTGTTCTGATTTGGACCCTGGAAGTCCTGGTATCTTGGGCTGGCAAGGATCTGTGAGCCAGGACTCCCAGGCCTTCCTGGCTCTCTGTCAGCCTGCCAGGCGGGCTGCTGAGGAACTGGAGCCAGAGAGCC